TACCACACCTTCAACACGCACATCACACCCAAACTTCACAATCAAATATCGATGCGTTGTGGAAGCACAATTTGTGTGTTAATATAAAAGAATATAATAAAGAAACCTTTAAAATACCACACCTTCAACACGCACATCACACCCAAACTTCACAATCAAATATTGATGCGTTGTGGAAGCACAATTTGTGTGTTAATATGAAAGAATATAATAAAGAAACCTTTAAAATACCACACCTTCAACACGCACATCACACCTAAGGTTCTTAAGAAAAAAAAATCGGTAAAGAATTTGAGAAAGACTACCGAAACCGAAACCTTTAATAGAATGGGGGACGAAGAATAAAAAAGTATACATTACTCATGGAAACACCTATAATTACGTTGGTTGACTGCGTGAAATTATGGGCTAATACACACATTTTTTAATATTGTCTTATTTTCCAAACAACTCTCGTAACCGATCAAATTGGATTGGGAAACCGTTCTATTAGAAATATGGCGGGTAGATATAAGGTAGCAAGTCACTTGTTATTCGTCTTTATATATATATATATATATAATATTCTGTTGGCGGTAAAGTCACAGGACCGGTTTCTCGTTTTGTTTTGTTGTGTTCATGACGTCGTTTCTGATGTGTTGATGTTTTAGCATAGACAAAGAAGGTTCTTGTCGGATCCTAATTTATGGGTCTCGGGTCTAGGATGGTTCATAAATTACTTATTGCCAGAAAAAAAATGCTATTGAATATAATGAACATTATATGATCTACAGATATGCACAGATAGGTGGATAGTTGAGAGACAGACAGACAGACAGATAGATAGCTGTTTGTATGTATTTGGATTGTTTGAAGCAACATTTTATGCCTAATTTAATCACAGGTTTGTGTATTTGTTTGTAACTAACGAACAGTGAGACTGAGCGTAATATCATAACCTCCTCATGGCTGAAAGGACGAGCATATTCAGTGACGGGATTCGAACCTGCGACCCGCAGATTGCAAGTCGAGTGCCCTAACCACCAGGCCTATTAAATCATAGGATTAATGCATACTGTTCTGATATCATCTGACTGTTCGTTACCTAGAAACGTCAAAAATTATACCAAAATAGAAACCTGAAACATTTGGAAAGTATAACGTATTCAAAATTTAGGTTCATATACTTGTTTAAAGTAATCACAAGATTGCACACCGAAATATTAACTACCAAGCGAACGTTAGTGATTTAAACTCTCTGTAGCGTATATCAACTGTTTTTTTTTGTTGTTGTTGTTATTTTTTTTACGCGCAATGTTACACCTTGTGAACATATGAACATGTGATATGCTTTCCATATGTACAAATAACTGTGTATTGTGTTTAAAGATAAAACAGCTGATGTAACTTACATAAAATGCTTTATGATCTTCATGCAGATATATTATAAAGTACTTCCCCATATACAGGTAATTCGGACAGGTGACGCTATAGGGGTTTATATTCCTATCCAAGTGTGCTGTAATGTTCCTCTTGTAATGGTAAAACGGATAGTATAATTGACGTTTTACTCTTTACGTCTTTTATCCGGTTTTACACGTGAGAGTAAGACAGAAAACAAAACACATTTTACGCGTAGGAAAAGCCGTGTAAATGTAAACATAACGTATGACACGAATAAACAGATAAATAGAAAACGTTCCCAAAACGATAGTTTAATTTCCACGAGCGGAAATGATGCACGCGCTTATGACTTAGCCACAAATTTCGATATTTTTGGATACCATTTGTTACCAACAGAATGGTGTACCTCTTGTTGAGGTCAGTTTTCGCTCTCCAAATAAAATGAAGCCTCCTCCTCGCTATGAAAGCAATATTTCACTGCATGCGCAAAGCCAGTGAAATTCCCTAACTTAGTGTGTGCGGCAACAACTACGTGACCTTTCAGAACGCATAGTTTCTATGCCTTACACAGCCCTTGTTACCTGTGCAGGTTCATATAAAATACTGTAATATTGCATTAGTTATGGGAGTTGCAATCAACGTAGATGTCAGTACTGTAACTGATCTTGTTTTATCGGAGGGGGTGTAGTTACTCCAAGATCTCCCAGACTATATATATATATATCATTTTACTCGCATTACACTTCTAAACCAGGATCTATCTAAGTAATATATTGTAACGGGTGTGTGTGTGTGCACAAACATTACTACCTACAACATTACCCAGGTACTACAACCTCCGGTTTACTGATTAGACCAATACGGCTGATTACCTGGACCGTTACCTAGGTACTGTAATCCGTATTTTACTATCTACATTGTTTCCTAGGTACTGTGAGATATACTTTACCGCCTAGGCCGTTACCTGGGTACTGTAACTTGTATCTTACCACTTCCCAGGTTCTATAATCCATTGTTTATTATCGTCATCTTTCTCCTGGTATAGTAATTAATATTTTAATACTATTATCCAAACGCTGTGATCGAGACCGTTTCCCGGACACTATAACGTGTATTCTACTATGAAAACGCTTGCCCCCGATTGTACAATTCAAACGTCACTACATAAATGTTATATCTTAGCATTTAAACTATTTATAGACACTTCTACTCACACATAAAATAAAAGTCGATCAAACAACATTGAAACACCAGAAAGCTACGTTTTCTCGAGATACTACGACCCTAGAGACACAAGTGGATTACGCTTGAGACACTGGTAACATTAACTTCTATTTCAAAGAAGAAATGTCTTTACTGTTGTGGTGTTTATTGAAATACCCATTCATTTTCTCTATGTTTCAAACGTCTTGAGCATATTTTTACACTAAAAATAACAGTTATAATTAAAGTGCTCAGTCGTCTTCTCTATGTTTCATACGTCTTGAGCATATTGTTACACTAAAAATAACAGTTATCATTAAAGTGCTCAGTCGTCTTCTCTATGTTTCAAACGTCTTGAGCATATAACTAATTGTTACACTAAAAATAACAGTTATTATTAAAGTGCTCAATCGTCTTCTCTATGTTTCAAACGTCTTGAGCATATAACTAATTGTTACACTAAAAATAACAGTTATTATTAAAGTGCTCAATCGTCTTCTCTATGTTTCAAACGTCTTGAGCATATAACTAATTGTTACACTAAAAATAACAGTTATCATTAAAGTGCTCAATCATCATCTCTATATTTCAAACGTCTTTCCGTTGATTATCTTAACCACTCATTTTTGATACATATCTATATATACCTGAGTTCCAAAGTTTTTATGTGTAGTTAACCTGGTATTATGTGAAAGTGTAGTTAACCTGGTATTATGTGAAAGTGTAGTTAACCTGGTATTATGTGAAAGAGTAGTTAACCTGGTATTATGTGAAAGTGTAGTTAACCCGGTATTATGTGAACGTTTAGTTAACCTGGTATTATGTGAAAGTGTAGTTAACCTGGTATTATGTGAAATTGTAGTTAACCTGGTATAATGTGAAAGTTTAATTAACCTGGTATTATGTGAAAGTGTAGTTAACCTAGTATTATGTGAAAGTGTAGTTAACCTGGTATTATGTGAAAGTTTAGTTAACCTGGTATTATGTGAAAGTTTAGTTAACCTGGTAACCTCCTAAATAAGAATAACCTTAGTATAGAGCTTACTTTTCACAGTTATATTAACGTATTTCAACATCTTGATATATGATTAGCTAATCAACAAGTT